ACGCTGATGCCGATATTCGCACACGAATTTTACACAAGCTTGAACAGGAACCACAACTGACGTTGCAGGATATCACTGCAGAATGCCAGCGGCTGATTAATTTGAAGCACGATACAAAAATGGTTGAAACTGCTGATCACAAAACTGAACCACAAATTTGTCGTACAGCTATCCGACGTAAAGGAATGAATGGAACTGGATCAACTCAGAAGCCCCCGACCGCGTGCTGGAATTGTGGCGCCTGGCATTTTGTGAGAGGTTGCACATATAAAACGCACCAATGTCAGAAGTGCAGACGGGTTGGCCATAAGGGAATTCACTGCCGAGTTGTGAACAATTTCAGACGTTCTTTTCCCCCAAAACTGCGCGTAAATCCCAATTTTATAAGAGCCAATTTTCACGGACCGGCCGCAAAGATAATCCTCGCCGCCTTTGTCACAGAACTTGCACGCAAGAGAAAGTACGTGTCAGTAAAAGTCAATGGTGTTCCTATCACGTTGCAGCTGGATACAGCGTCCGACATTACAATCATCTCGAGATCAGTCTGGAAGAGGCTTGGGAGACCAGCATTCAAACGCACAACCCTGACGACTAAAAATGCATCTGGGGGACCACTGAGATTAGATGGTGAGATTGAGTGCGAAGTCAGCTTCAATGGCTTGAATCTTCGTGGCACGATTTACTTGGTTACGAGCGGTGACGTAAATCTGCTCGGCATCGATTGGATCGAGAAGCTGCATCTACTCGACGTACCATTGAGTCACATTTGTTCTGAGAATAATGTCGTGGTGCTTCATACAACCGTATCGAATCAGCCGGGTCAAAGTATTGCAGAACTGCTTCAATCTAAGTGTGCATGTGTATTTCAATCAGAGCTAGGACATTGCACGAAAATGCAGGCAAAGCTTACCCTGCTTCTTGTGGCACAGCCAGTGTTCCGACCCAGACGTCCAGTCCCTCACGCATCCCAAGCACTCGTGGAGCATGAGCTTGATCGATTACAGCAGGCCGGAGTGATCGAGCAAGTCAGTTTCTCACAATGGGCGGCGCCTATCGTTGTGATCAGAAAACCGAATGGCTCAGTTCGTTTGTGTGCAGATTTTTCAACCGGCTTGAATGCTGCATTAGAACCCCATCAGTACCCGCTTCCACTCCCAGACGACGTGTTTGCAAAGCTGAATGGAGGCAAGTACTTTGCTGCTCTGGATCTGGCAGACGCTTATTTGCAGCTGCAGGTCGAACCGGAAAGCAGAAAGTTTCTAACAATCAACAAGCATCGCGGCCTTTACCAGTATAATCGTTTGCCATTTGGAGTAAAAACTGCACCTGCAATCTTTCAACAAGTTATGGACGCTATGTTGACTGGCTTGACGGGAGCAGCAGCCTATCTAGATGATATCATCATAATGGGCGGAACCCAGGAGGAATTGTTTCAACGATTGGATGACGTGATGATGAGAATTAAGGAATATGGATTCCGGTTGCGAGCTGACAAATGCAAATTTTTCCTGAAATCCATCAAGTTCCTGGGTTTCGTGATTGACGAGAACGGTCGACGGCCTGATCCTGAAAATATCGAGGCCATAGACAGATTACCGGCACCGACGGATGTCACAAGCTTGCGCTGATTCCTTGGGATGGTGAGTCATTATAGTGAGTTCCTACCTTGCATGCATCGATTACGTCATCCTTTAAACCATTTGTTGATGAAAGATGTTGAATGGAACTGGTCCGCACAGTGTCAAGAAGCTTTTGACAAACTCAAATCTCTGCTGAAATCAGATTCGCTCCTTACGCATTACAATCCGAAGCAGGAGATTGTCGTGGCTACGGATGCTTCGAGTTATGGAATTGGTGCTGTCATCTCACATCGCTTTCCAGACGGGTCCGAAAAGGCTGTGGCACATGTGGCACGAGCGCTGACCGCATCTGAAAAGAACTACAGTCAAATTGAGAAGGAGGCGTTGGCTATCATTTTTGCAGTACAGGGATTTCATAAGATGATATGTGGCAGAAGATTCACGCTGATGACTGATCACAAACCGCTTTTGGCAATCTTTGGATCTAAGAAAGGCATTCCGACATATACAGCCAGTCGACTTCAGCGCTGGGCAACTCTGCTCCTGGGGTATGATTTTGGCATGCGGTACTTGTCCACTGATTCTACTGGACAAGCGGACGCCCTGTCCAGACTGATCAATACCGGTAGACGCGATCAAGAAGACGCAGTCATTGCATCCATTGCAGCCGAATCGGACGTCAGCTACATGATACAAGACGCAGTGTGTAACTTGCCAGTGAATGGTTTAATGGTTGCGCAAGCCACTAAACAGGACGCTGTGCTACAAGAAGTATTAACCTATACAAGAAGTGGATGGCCAAAGAAGTGTCCGAACGAAGCTTTGACCCAGTTCTTCACAAGGCGAGGCGCATTGTCGGAAGTTGATTCCTGTCTGTTTTTCGCAGATCGCATAGTCATTCCAGAAGTGCTCAGACAGCGCATACTAAGAGAGCTGCACAAGGGCCATCCAGGAATCGCCCGCATGAAGGCACTTGCTCGCAGCTACGTCTTTTGGCCGATGATGGACAGCCAAATTGAGGATATCGGTCGATCCTGTTCCAGATGCATCGGTGCATCCAAACTACCGGTGCGTGTGCCATTGTAATCTTGGTCGAATCCAGAATCTCCCTGGTCGCGCATACATGTTGATTTCGCAGGACCAGTCGAGGGTGTGGAATTTCTTGTGATGGTTGACGCGTACAGTAAGTGGCCGGAAGTGATCCGGATGAAAAGCACGTCCTCAAACAGCACGATCTCGGAAATGAGACATGTATTCAGCCAGCATGGCCTACCAAAAACCGTTATTTCCGACAACGGATCGCAGTTTACGTCCTATCAATTCGCCGAGTTTTGCGCACAAAATGGAATCAAGCACGTGAGGACAGCACCATATTATCCACAGTCAAATGGCCAAGCGGAAAGATTTGTCGATACCCTGAAAAGAGCACTTTTGAAGTCAAAAGGCGAGGGAACGTTGGACGGAAGACTGGAGCGGTTCCTACTGAATTATCGAGTGACTCCCAATCCCAGTGCACCCAATGGGAAGTCACCAGCTGAAGTCCTAATGGTTCGCAGATTGAGAACTACACTGGATTTGCTGACACCCAGGCGTCCTCTCCCACAAACAAGGAACTTAGCAATGGAGCAGCAATACAACAGGCGGTACGGAGCACGGAGAAGGATGTTCAGAGTTGGCGAATTTGTATCTGCAGCGGCTATTCAGGGACGGCGGATCAGCTGGATACCAGGGCGCATCGTGCGACGTCGGGGACGGGTGATGTACGATGTTCAAGTTGGTGCGCAGGTATGGAGACGTCACGCAAATCAGCTGAAACCGCGGTGTACACTGGAAGGTGATGTTCAGAATGCCAACAGATTTGATGTTAATGAGTTGCTTGACAATGGCAAACCAAGTGCTTCTTCACGCCGAGAAGTTCGACCAAGGGAATGCCCGGAACAGGAAGGTCGGAACAAACCCCAACGAACAAGAAAATTTGCACAGCCGTTTCAAGTGGACCCGCGTCGGAAAAGCTATGTTCCGTACAGATAACTAACTTTTTAAAAGGGGATGTTAGAGAGCTGGCTACTTAACCCTCAGTTTCATGAATTATGTTAGTTGCCTATTTCTTTGTTCGCGCAGTTACCTGCTTCTCTGTTACATTTTGGACACGCCGCTTTCCTCAGCCTCATTCGCAATCGCTCACAGCTAATTTCAGCCGTCTCATTCTGTGGACATTCTGATTGGTTTCTTTTGCTCAGCGTTCCTTAGCTTTTTCACGTGGATGTATTATTCAGCCGACACATATTTATTATACCTGTTTTTATTTTCCTGGTGTGTATCATTCTCACTATCAACTGTTCTGGCATTTGTTTAAACGCATCACTTCTCCACACTGATTGGACGCTACTCGTCGTTTTTAATGGTCGCTCACCAGAAGGTTGCCCCCAGGGATTAACTCCGCAGACACTATTTTCTTTGCCGCACTTCATTGGCTCGTAATTTTCGCGATTCTCATTTGCTTGTTCCATTTTGTGTTTTCTCCATGCCTGTTGGATCTCATGCGTTTAGTAGCTTGGATTCGCCCTTGTTTGTAAAGCTACATAACTGGTGCCGTGCTGTAATAGAAAATCTGTTCATCCCGGCTCATCTTGGACTTCTTCTTGCGGTCGTGGGGTGAAGGCGTACTGGGCGTCACAACACTCGCGACCTTGAGATTGGACAAATGGTTCGTTAGCTCTTTTGTGTCTTTGACGAAAATTTACCAGTGGCTTGTCCCATAACCTTTGAAACTGTTCTCCAACTGCGTCCACGCGTATCTTTCAGCCGCGCAGCAAGTGTCGATGATTAATTGGGCCTATTTCTCGCAGCGCGAGAGAGTATACTTGCGTAGAGGGTTCACGGTGCGTTAATTAGGTCCCAAAAGGAGCATTCCACGAATTTTCCCCTTCTCTTCCATATCTGCTGCCGCCCTGTCTGCTCTGTTGTAATGCACTTGTTTCTTTTGTGGCATGCCGGAAGTAGCATATCTCGTGAAACTGATAATATACATATTTTCTGATCTCAGTTTTGGTTTCGTTTGCTGAGCGTCTGAAATTGAAAGGCATATTGATGACCTTGGGAAACATCACATTTCACGGATGTGAAACAAGAAGCCGGAGCTTATCAAATCAGAACGAGTGGATTTGAAATCCTAAATTTATGACGAGATTTAAATCCGGCAGATCTACATCGTTATCAGTTAAAGAACAGTTATATCCTCTTATTGTAAATTCCGATTTGGAAATTGGATAGATTCACATAAGCCGATCTTTTATGATTTCTGCGAGAATTGACCCTGTTTCTACAACTATTACTTTTGAGTGCTTCTCAAATCATCTTCTGTACAACAATTATCCTTGTCACCTGCATATCGACATGTAGGCGGTAACTTATGATTCTTGACACTCAGTTCAATTGGCTTGTTTACTGTTTTGCTTATCACCAAGCCTCAATGGAGAGCATGCTTGGTGCTGCGGATCAGGCATATCGGGTCTACCTTGCTCGACGGAGTAGTACCAATCAACGAATCTTGGACGCTGGAATTTCAGCCACTGATAATATCGAACAGGTCCTAGCTGAAAAGGAGCACAAGCAAAAGCAGCTGGCAGCGGCGATTTCCATTGAGGTGAGGCACCAATTTTTTTAGTACATCTTTTCACTCCGTATCCCTTCCCATCTCGATGGAAAGACGTCTTAGTTTAAACCTAAATGTGTTCGCATCCATTTCCATAAAATTGGGTTGGGGCCATCGCCTCTCCATCTCGCTTCCGATGAGAACTATAATCATGGGTGCTGCTTGTTTGATAGTATCAACTAGGGTTAATTTCAAACAGAATAATCAATACATACATTGTGAGGTTGCTCTGTCATTTCGTACAAGATCGTCAGTCATTGATATATAAAACGCGGTCCTATGAGATCAGCTAGCCAATCATCACGCCTCCCGCTACCACGGCCAGCTGTTTCTGTAACCAAAGCAGTGGCCACTCCAGATAGATAACTATGGCTTCTACCAGTCTGCGCATGTGGGGCCGCTGATTGCATAACAAGACGATGAATGACTAATCGGGATTGACTCGGTGACCGATGCTCAACAAATGTCTTGCGATTACCGAGGTAGCTCAATTCCTCAACTCAGTTGATCCCATCGACACTGATCCCATCCGATTCCGTAACCACTTGGAAATGTGTTCATTGATCCTGACACCTAAACTTCGGTCAGTGCGCTCGACTTGACTGTCTGCGCAGCTACAAATGAATTTTTATAAACAATGAGACATGCATTGCTTTGTTATCAGTGTCTTGATGGAACACATAAGCAAAGCTTTTGTTAACGTGAGCAATCGCAGTTCGGCTGTACTATACGCACTAATACGTTTCTCAGTGATTCTTATGATATGATCACCTTTGCAGTTCGATGTAGATGGGCTTCTTTTAAACTGTTGTGACGCGATCTTGCTTGGTTATGTTGTTACTGAGCTTTATAAACTGAATCGGATAACAATTCGATTGTAATGTCACGAACAGGCAATCTTTCTCTGCTTCTAATGTGTCCGAGATGCGAATCATGGGGGTTCGCTGAAGCAATGTCCGGAAAAGCGAATGTTTGTGTTGCATTGGGCAGAAACCCTTACAGTACAAATACTGACCTGTCCATGTTGCTTTTCGGCAAACTGACCTGATCGAACCATCCAATCGCTTTGTGATCAGCATGCTTAATTATAGAAGACAAGTATTTTGCTGCATGTTACACGTCCCTGTAAGCATCGAATCCATACTGCTGAGTGTCCCTTTCGCACGCATGATAACCTCGTCGGAATCTATGAAAAGCAGTATATCATCCACATAACGTTTGTATATAATCCCTGATTTTATCATCTCATCTACCTTCCGTTTGATTATGCTAATGAACACATTTGCCCACAAAGAGCCTCTTGGATTGCCCATCGCAAGACTGTCTGTTTGTTGATAAGTCTTCCTTTGAGAGTAAAACTGTATCTTTTCCATGCACAAAATTAGCATGTGCTGCAACCATTTCGTGGGGAGCTCTAGTCATATATTATGTTTTGAAATAAACTCACCGAGATAATCAACAGTCCCGTTCAGTGAGACGTAAAGCCAATAGTTCTAAAGTGGTTGACAATATATGTTTTACTATATATCTTCTGACAGGTTCAAACATGTTCAGCCATTTGGCAGTGGCGTGGCACGGTGAATTGACCATGGAAACAATTGGTCGCATAGGCATTTCTTCTTTATGCACTTTACGCATGCCGTACATTTGGGTGTCAACAGGTTCTAATGCCTGGTATTGGTTTTCAGAGATCAAGCCACGAAGTCGCGAAGTTGTAGTTCGCGACAAACTTTTCGACCTAACGAACAGTGTGCTATCTGATAGTGTTGTCTCTATCTTACTTAACTAATCTGACCTGTCTGAGCTGATCACTCCAAACTGCCTATCAGGTTTCAAGCTAACGTCTTGGTTGCCTTCCAGCCCACGGATTGGTTTGTAGTGCTCTGCAGTTAGACAAGTCTGTTGTTGTATTGGGGCACTAAAAATAATATGACGTATTCACTAATTTGTTTTTTAACCAAGGATCATTGGTGGGTGGTGTTGGGTTCGAGAACATAAGCTGACTGTAGAGATTCTCAAAGTTCGCATTGATAGATTCTTTGTTACTCTGACGAGGAGGTGCTTTTAATCCCATTCCGTGGGATAGTACTTCAGCTTGCAGCCCTTCGTGAGAGAAGGATGAGAGTATGGACAAATTTGGAATAAATACCAGGGAACTCGCCCCCATGTAGCTCAGTTGAAACGGTACGTTGGAACTTGAGTGTTGCGGTCTTTCTCCTATTTCTGGTAACATCGTGGCAGGTATTTACAAATTTGATTCGACACACAAGCGGCAAAGATCCTCATATCGATAGATAGCGTTGAATTGTTTCTACGAGTTGGTTTATCCCTTGCAAACAAGTTTATAGCTCAAAGCAAGCTTTTCCAAATTAACCACAGTGGGGCGTATTTTGCTTTTGCGAAGTCGTTCACGAATCGACGTGTGTAACGATTATCAGAAACACCGGCTCAAAAATACAAATCGTACACGCTCGAACGCCAACTTACATTTCAGGCTCCCCAAACGGTGAAGTCTTTTCACATCAGAAGCAGGGAGTCATCTTTTTCGAAATTTAGAACAGGGAATTCCCCTTTTAATCTGATTAGTAGCACTCGATGATGTTCGTGATTGCCGCGTATTCTCCCGCAGATTGTAATTTTGGTTCTACCAGCGACACTTTCTATCAGGAATTTAACACGTTACTTCGCAAATCTACCAGTTCAGATGTCATTCTCTTTACAGGGGATATGATTACATAAATACGTTACTTGCGCTATTCGAAAGCTAATTTGATTAGTATGCTTGCATTTAACTCCGAACACACAGACAATAATGTGCGTTTGTTACAACAACGTGCCGGACATCGGCTGTTTTTAAACAACACTGCCTGGAGGCACACTGGGTGACACTTTACATATTCTTGTAGCTGACCATTTAGACCGCGTCGCCATAGATTTCAGGGGTTATGCGTAATATAGTATGGTTGGTCCACCGCGCCTTTCCGCGTATTACTTGGTACAATTGTTTTATGAATTGTCACAGTTGATTCTTTGCGGTTATTTACTTTTTATTTACTCTTATCCTTTATTACACAGGACGATTTTCAGAAAAAGGCGTTTGCTGAACTTCAGTCCAGATGTGATTCTCAAGCACAACAGTTGCATCAAGACATCGGGCTTGTGGAAGAAGAGTTGTTGCGCTTAACCAAAGTTGAATTGGAACGCAAGTCAAGAAGTGCTGAATTGAATCTGCAGTGTTTGGCGGAACGTCGATCAGACCTGGTTCAGTTGTTGGCTCGACTAAGTTTGGAGCAAAGCAGACGACAGCAAGAATTGCGAGATCGTTTGGTAAGTCATCAGTTTGTCGATGTGTCTTGGCTCTTGTTTGTACTGCAACAGATCACACTCCAACCTCCTGCCATCTTGTGTGCTTCGCGTCCAACGCGACCATTTGTAAAGCAATCTACATCAACTGTATAAGCAGCATTTTTGCACATGTGCCTTTGTATTTGCTCTATCGGCGTCCCTATTATGCATGCATAGACATCTTTTCGTTTGATCTTTTGCCGATTTCACATCAATTTTTCCACTTTTTTAAACCGTTCTTCCGAGGACGCATACAGTGAACTCCTGCACTCTCGTTCGTCTTCACGATACTTGTTTTTTAAGAGCATTAGCCCAGTGTCTGAACGGAATGACAACCGTCTCTTTGGTTATCTTCATCACCTTAACAATGAGACACACCTCCACATTGCTCGTTGTCCCCATCTATGCACCGCGATATTTTTCGAGTCGTTTATATCGGGTACCCTTAGCACTACTGCCAATCTTTTTCCTCAACACCGTTTTATATATCATTTATGTAATGCGCTGGCGATTAGCTTGAGTCGGGTCGAGTGCAGTACAGGTAGTTTTAGTAAAATTTGAATATCCTATGTAATGCATGGGATAATTCGAGTTCATCGCATTTTAAAGCAGTATCCACCTGGTCATAATTTATAGTTGGTGTGGGTCAATCCTAAACTGTAGCCCATTCTAAAATACCTTCGTCGACTCTGACCATGTTTTTGTACACTGCCATTTTCCCATTAACTCTGTCATGAGATGTACCTAAGTTCTCTCTATTGAAACACAGGATATTGTAGCTCTCTGTCAAACAAGCGGACTAAACTTCGGCTCTTTATCTTAATGGCATAGGGTCTCAGTGAAATGGTATATTGGCCGTCATGAACAACGTGGGAGTCCTCTGCTTGTGGCGTTAGCAATCACTACACCAGTCACTGGCTATCCGAGATCTCGTTGGAATTTTAGAATCGGGTTGGTTCTGAACGCAAGTTTCAGGCGGACTATTAGGCACACAATAAACGTAGGCTGATTGATAGCATGGAGGCCTAGAAGACTCAAAGGGCTCAGGAAACGAAGAAAGCGCAAGCAGTGAACAATTCTCGCAAGCCGTCCCAACTGAGGTGTACCACTTGTCCAAAAAAACAGGCGTCAGCGAGATACTTAGCGACAGCGCGGGTGCCCTGATTCACAATAAGAAGCGTCGTATGGCTCGTTGGGCGCAGCACTCTCGAGATCAGTCCAGTTGGTCCCCTGCTCCTGAACTTCTTCCTACTCAGGTGGTGCAGACTGAGCCGTGGCCGGTTAGCTTAGAGGCTCCATCGAAGGCTGAGGTCCGAAATGCGGCTACAGCCCTTACTTCCTTTCGAGTTGCTGGTCCGGATTCCCTCGCACCCGAACTATTTAAGGATAGTGGTGAGGTCCTCTGTTAATCACTGACCCATCTATTAGAAGAGATTTTTAAAGAAGAGACCATCCTAGCTAACAAGAGTGAAGCGATCTTAGTGGCAATGTACAAGAAAGGCAGTCGCACCGACTGTGCCAACCACAAGGGTATTAGTTTAACCACGGTGGTGACAAAGTTACTGGCCTCAATTCTCGTTCGTCGCCTCACAGCGGACCAGGAATCCTTGCATCGGGAAGAGTGGCAGATTTCCCACCATGGCGGAATTTTCTAGACCACATATTCACTTTGCGGCAGTTGTTAAAACCGCGTCACACTTACCGCATGGCGACAATAGCTGTGTTCCTCCACTTCAAGAGTGCGTTAGGGTCAGCTGATAGATCCCTTTCGTTTAATATATTTGTGCAGAAAAGCGCTCTCATGAAGTATGTAAATATTTCACGTGCCATATTCACGAACATCACAGACCGCGTCAGAGATTACATTGACATGTCAGATGTTATTTTGACAACAAGTGGCATTCGTCCCCTCATTTCATATACAAATAAATTATTCATTAGTATAGGTAGAAATTCGCCGCATCTAGACTCACTCAGACAGCCGTCACACGCCCGGAAAAGCACTGTACGCGCGTTTCATCTTTTTGGGAATCGTCAGCAGTGCTCATTCCATCGGACCCTGGTAGGGCTCGAACCCGCAACTCGACTGTTGCCAGTCCGTGGTTGAGACCACTGAGCTACGGGGTACGGCAACGACCATCATGAATAAGTTAGTAAATGTGATATGGCGCCGCTCACTATCCACTGACTTACACGTTACTGTCGTGCAGAGGACAGTGTAGCCCCCCTCACCAAGCGACGAGCTTACCAAACTTAAGCCGCCAATTAACTTATGGCATTATAAGCAGTTTTGTCTGCGTACTGATTGCATAGGAGTAGTAGGGGGAGTTGAATGGGATAGGTAGAAATTCATCACATCTAGACTCACTCAGACAGCTGTCACACGCCCGGAAAAGCACTGTACGCGCGTTTCCTCCTCTCGGGAATCGTCAGCAGTGCACATTCCATCAGTTGTCTCAACCGCGGACTGGCAACAGTCGAGTGGCGGGTTCGAGCCCTACCATGGTCCGATGGAATACGCACTGCTGACGACTCCCGAAAGGATAAAACGCGTGTACAGTGCTTTTCCGGCCGTGTGACGGCTTTCTGAATGATTCTAGATGTGACGAATTTCTACCTATACCATTCAGCTCCCCCTACTACTCCTATGAAATTATTTATTCTCATCATTGCAAGGCGAGCCTGCGCAGGCATGATTATCATGGTGCGATCTTGTACAGACCAGCGAGCACGAGCCGAGCGGATGAGTACGAGGCTGTTCAAAAATGGTCAGCTGTGAGGACACTTGTGGCACGTGGGAAAGAATGTTGCGTGATCAGATGTGTCGACGAATGATCATCCTCGTATCGTTTACAAGCCGACAAAGAGGGGCCAGATGCAGGTTTGTGATCCGAGTGAGTGAGAGTGAATCACCACTTCACCCGCTTTTGACATAGATCCCATCGCCACCAGGGATAAAATACGTAACGTTCATAGCAGCCAGTGTGATGCAAACGCTAATGTCATTGCGCGTGCACAACTCACCAGGCGTGGACGACATAAAACTGTAGGTATGGAAGACAGCGGCCATAAATCTTGCCGAAACATTAGCTTGGTTCTTTCAACTTTGTCTCGACGAAATGCAGATTCCGACAATGTGGAAACATGGACTATTCACTCCTATTTACCAAAGTGATAATCGTGCGGAGCCCTCGAATACCGTCCAGTCACTCTCCTCCCTGTGTTCTCCAAAGTAATGGAAGTTATGATCGCAGAGGCACTCACTGGATACCTTAAGAGAAACAACATCCTAGTGTCACAGCAACATGGATTGCGCCGAAATCGATCCTGCATTACAAACTTGCTTCTAGCCCGAGCATGCCAGACAGTATCAGGCGGTGCCAGAGTGGGAGTCCACGTTGTCTACCTGGACTTCTCGAAAGCGTTCGATCGTTTGGACCACGGCATTCTCCTTCACAAGCTTCGAAGCTATGGAGTCGGTGACCCTGTGCTCGGTCGGATCGGCAACTTCCTTGCTCAAAGTTAGCTGGATGTGAGAGTCCGCAGCTCAATTTCTGATCCAGTTGACTACCAGTGTGGAGTGCCCTGAGAATCGGTACTGGGGCCACGTTTATTCCTCACATACATTAACGATCTTGCTAGTGTACTGCAGTCGAATTTTTTGCTCTTTGCAAATGATGTCAACATTTGGTATGACATCATGACAACGGATGTTCGCATGGCGTTGCAGAGCGATCTCGACGGGGCTTATGCGTGGTCATCCATTAAGTTGCTCCAATTCAACGTGGCGAAGTGCAAAGTCGTGAGCACACGCCATCAGCTTACCCATGAATATCGAGTTGGGGACCAGCAGTTGCAACGTGCTTCCCAAGAAAACGATCTTGGGGTGACCGTGCAGGACGATATTGGCTGCCCGAAACAAGCTGAAAACGCATCAAAAAGAACCAGTCAACATCTTGGACTCTTACGGAAATTTGGAGCCATCAATCTTTCCGCATATGCCACGCACTTACGTGAGGCCCCACGTGGAATATGCTATCCAGGCCTGGTGTCCCTGGCGCAAGCGCGACATCAATGCACTTGAAGCTCCAGAATTGACAACCAAACTCGTTAGATTACCTTTTCATCTCCCATACCTGCGCAGACTGCAGGCCTTGAGGTTGTACAGTGGTGAATATCGACGTTAGCGAGGAGACCTCATCATGGTTTACTTAATACTGACAAACCCAATACACCCATGCCGCAATCTGCTGCAGCTGAACCAATATACCAACATGAGAGGCCATCAGTTAAGACTGGCTACGCACTACATTCAACTTGACTGTCGACGAAACGTTTTCTCCCTTCGTGTGTACCTTGTTGGAACGCCCTTCTGACTCACCTCATTCTTGTCCTTACATTAACGCTATACAAAACCTGATGACACCCTTTCCAACTTACATTATTCGATGCAGTTTGTTTAACTCGGGGGACGAATAACGCAAACCAAACCATATGCTTAACCGCCTTCTCCGTAACGTTGCGTTGAGGATACATACATAAGTGTCCTTGTGAGTAGCATGGATGTATCTAAACTGGATTAACATAACTCATCTGTCAAATGAAGCAACACACGAGTGAGGGTTGTCGTTTCCTGTTTGTTCTCACGCACTTTCTAAACTATAACTGCTCACTATACTTTTTTGTATGTGCATATCCCATTCCCATTTCAAACTATCGATATACAGTAGTGCATTTAAATTGGTAGACGATTAAGATGACGATTTACTTACTTATTAATCCTTTCAATTTTAATTTTCACTCTAACCACCATCCTACGATACTTGTCAAGCGCATGCTTTTTTACCCCTGATAAATCATTGTTCTATGTTCATTGTCTCATTCACCCCGACCCATCAGAATTACGTATGTTGATGACCTGTTGTTAGCATGCTCAGTGAAACATAGTTGGAGCTTCTTGCATGGATTGTTCAAATGAATTT